TTCCCCCCCCCCCTTCTTTTTCTCCTTTTTTTCTCCTCTTGTTTTGTTTTTTAATGTGAGTGGTTTGGTAGGAGCTGCTGTTATCGTGTTGGATATTGTACATACTGTAGCGCATGTGAATGAAGAACACAGGAGAAAACGACTGTAGCCAAAGACAGGAAATTGTGGGGGTGCCAATTTTAAAAGCGTGTGGACTCATAACTTCCTATCTGTTTGACTGGCGGTTCATTGTTAAGTGTTGTTGAATGGGAAATCTAACAACAATAATCAACCAACAGTTGAACAGAAATAAAGTCATGAGTCAACAAGCGTTCAAAATTGGTTCTCTCGTGATTTTCAGTTTGTGACTGCCGTCGTTTTTTCCCTGTAGTCTTCACTTGTATTTTCTTTGTTGGGGGATGGGAACCCCGCATATATGGTGCAGCAGTTAGGCCATCTTACATTGCAAACGTAACGTTATCTTAGAATTACAACGTTTTATCTGACGTTTTTGGCCGTTTTGAGTTACTAAGAACATACATTCAGATAAAAAATTAAATGTTCTATCTGCCCTATCAAAATCGGAAAATTAATCAGAGTCGTTATCAAGATATTTAAAGAATTTCATTCGGAAAAGCTTGACTCTTTGTGAAACTCAAATTTTTTCAACGTCAAATTTCTCACTACAAGGTACTCAGCAGATAGAACTTTGGGATTCTTGGGTACCGATAAGTCGTCAGTTAGATCCCCGAGGGGGGGGGGGGGGGCGGTAATTTTTATTCTAATTAATTATTATTTTCAAAAATATTCATTATCATTTAAACTTTATTAAAACATAAAAAAAAAAATCCAGAATGTCCATCTGTCAGCTGTGACGCCGTGTCCTGTTCAGCCAAGGTATGGGGCAGGGTGGCAGGCAGGGGCGACTCAACTATACGGTGTCGGTACATAATGTGATTTATCTTATTTCAGAAGGATCTGATGACCTTTTTTGACGAAAGCGAGAAAGAGAGAAAAAGGGAGGGAGAGAGAGAGAGAAGAGAGAGAGGGACGGAGAGAGAAAGAGAGAGAGATAGAAAGAGAGAGAGATAGAGAGAG